AATTGGATGAAAATAAGGGCTACTGTTGTTGGAATTTGTTGTGCGAGGGGAGAGGTTCGGGATGCTCTGGGACCTGAAGAGTCCAGAAGCACTTACGTATACATGATGGCAAGAGTTTGCATTTTGTTCTGAGTAATGGGATGGAACTCAAGGGCTTTCATCAGAAGTGACATACTGATGAGTTCATCTTTTACTCAGATAAGGCACCTGGTTTATGGGTATCATCAGATTACAATTAAACTGGACTAGAATACTAATGTCCCATTTCCAACACTGATATCACAGACAACTGAAGTTCTGTATAATTACTTACAATTGCTGCAACTGCAAAAGGCATATGGGTAACTCCTGCCCACCAGGGCAATGGCTTAGATACAATGCAAAATAGAATAAAGGTCATTCCATGTGTCCTAACCGTAAATGCACCCTTTTCTAATTCTGTTCCCCCAAACCATACAGAGAATGCATGAGTTGCATAGTAGTAGGTGTTACTTTTAAGTCTGCCTTGATTTTTATTTAAAAGTTAGAAGTAGAATGTTTAATTACATTTTCTCCCAGTTGCCTCACAGGTAGGTAACCTCCAGGTCATTCTCTTTCTTCTTACCAACATTAAAATTCTCTTCTCAGTAACCATTGCAGTGAAACTGGAAATGTTCTGATGGTTTAATTTACACTCAAGTGTTCATTAGAGACAATGGCTTGCTGTTTATTTTCCAAGGAGCATTTGAACAGGAGCAGCGGTTTCAGCAGGAGGAACTCTTGGGACATGAGCAAGTTCAAGCAAAGGTCAGGACTGTGGGAGACCCAGGTTCAGTTGCCTTCCTAGGAACCTGAAGCCTCCATGTAGATCTTCATCTTCACAGTATTGTTTGCAGTCTTGATGTCTTAGGACACTGCTTTCTCTTCCTACCAGCATATGGCATCCATCTTCTTGCAAAGGAATGCTGTCACATCCTAGAAAGGTTTCAGATGCAAAAAGCAAGGGCAAATCTTTTGTAGTTACCCGCATTTCTGTAATTCTAGAAAGGACCTATCTACCAAAGACTTTTTCACTCATATGAAGCCAAAGGGTTCCTCTACGTAACCCAGACACAACAACAACAATAAGAGCAGGTGTGTGTAGTGTTTTCTGACTCTGTTTCCATCACGTTATTCATATTAACTCATCTAATCTTTGAATCAAGCCTGTGTAGCAGGTACTATTACCATCTCCACCAATTTCATAAACCATAAAAAGAAAAATATAAAGGGAGTCATTTATGGTAAACTCACATACTTGTAAATATGTGGATAATTTGGAAGATCTGAATATGCAGAATCACCCCCCAAATAGCCTCAGCCATACAGCCGGATCCCATAGCATACAATGTATTAATCACTCAGCTCATTTTGCAAAATGTGCCAAAGGCTTCTACTGTTGGGGAGGAGGATGCCTTATCAGAAAAATTTATTCTTGTTTGAAAATGGAATAAAACTACAAAGAAGTTTTTGACTTTTAATTACTGAACAGTGAAATAGAATTTCAGATGGGTCTTCCATATGCAATTCATTTTATCATGTTTTATGTTGCTTTATATATAGATGTCAGGAATCATGTCTCTAAATGAATTTGGTAGAACTTAAGGGAAGACTCACAGTCCTGGCCCCAAAGATGAAGGTCTGTCTTCATCTCAGCTGAAAACCAGTAGCATCTCAAGGACCAGTGTGATGAAAATTTCTCTGAAATGATCAGAGATAGAAAGGCTTCTCAGACTCAGTATTTGTCCTCTGTGGTAAAATTACGAGTTAATGCTAATGGTGGGGTTTGTCTCTTCTTTCCCTTCTTGTGATATTAGCCTTTTGCTTATGAACATGACCAAGAATTCATTTGCTAGAAGCCACCAAAATTATATAATTGTTTTTAATCCCAACTTTGTAAAAACTTTAAATGGTTGCAAATTTAATTCAGAAACATTTTAGGTGATTTTTCCAGTTCAGATGCTAAACCCTTTCCTTTTTTTTTCTCTCTCCAGTAGGGGGGGGGGGAGAAAAACCTTACAAAACAACAGTTGTTCACAGATAAAATAAAAGCTACTGCCCATCTGTCATCATTGGTCTTTTAAAACCACAAATTGTCTTTTTAATTTCTCTTTAACTTTTGACATACAACTCAAAACAACTTTTCACAAGCAGGTTATATGTTTTTTTTTCTTTAATACTGTCTACAAACTCTAGAAGGAGATTGGATTAAATTGGAAGCACAGATGATGGATACTCTTAAAATAATTGCTGCCTTAGTAGTTCAACATGTGAGCTTTGCCATTTTATTTTACACTTTTAAGTGAACTAATCTAAATTAAAATCTTTGAAGATCAATAGCTCATTTTTTCTACACCACAGAGCATTCTTAATGCATTACCAGGGCAGATAAGTCATATTTTCAGAAACTGAAAGTCTATAGCAGCCTGATGTACATGTAGTGGAATATTTCACAGCAGTATATTTTTTTGCACACATACATTGAAAAATACCAGCTATGCTAGGTGTAAATGTCTCATAACATAACTAATTCTTTCTCTCAGCACTCTTGAAAGATATCATTTTCTTTCAATGTGTAAAACTAATTCATCTACCTGGACTTTTATTATCTGAAGGACAATTTGAGTCATTTATCTTTTCATTGCTGTCAAGTGATGTTAAAATTTTGGTGACTTATAGAAAGAAAATAGCATAAACATTTCAGTGAATCTTGAGACTCAGGTAAAGTGTGGCATTGGAATTAAGGCAAATGTCCATGAACCTATGGGAAAGACATAAAATCCATGGGGGTTTAGATTTGGTGGAAGTTAATCATAGGCAGTCCTCTTATTTGGCTTCCATGGCAAAGAATATAGAAGTTATAATTTCAAAAGAACAACTCCAAGTTTTGATTACCTATATCAGAAAGATATGGGGTCTAGGAAACTTTGCAGGTTGGTCCTACTTAAAGGCTAACAGAATCTTGAATATGATTTTGATAAACTATGAGAATAGCAGTTGAAAGTATTTCCTAAAGATAATCTGAAAGTTCCCCTGTATTCACAAAGCAACTCATAGCTTGAATTGTTGTTTCATACACCATGTTTCATCCACTTGTAAGATATATGAGATCTGCTTGGGGCTGGAATTCTGTAGGGAATCTGCTTCTTTCCATCTTCATAATTTACACTGAATTTGGAAAAGAGGAAGAAAAGGAGAATCCTGGATGGTGCAGGGTTCTGGCTGCTTATGTATCCCTTCCATTGCCACATCCATTTTAGTCAAAGAGGAAACTGAGGGGAGAAGAAAAATACATTCTCTTAAAAATTATTCTGTCACCTTACTGTGACCGCCCATTATGGCCATTCTTCCTTTGCAATATCCAACTCTCCCAATCCTATGTCACACCATCTGGTCATAAGCATGGTAATTAAGTCCCAGTTTTATTCTGTGTGACTTCTACCATATAATCTTCCATATTGAAAATGCTTGAGTTTTGGGACATGGAAGAAGCTATAGTCTTGAAAAGGTACAGTATTAGGTTAAGATAAAATGTAGGTGTTTTAAATAAATGAATCCATTAAAGTACAGGACATAAAATCAATATGCAAAATCAGTTGCATTTTTATACACTAAAAATGACTATATGAGAAGGAAATTAGAAAAATATCTCATTTATAATAGCATTAAAAAATACAATGGGAATAAACTTAATGAAGAATGTAAAGGACATACTAAAAACAACAAAGCATTGAAAAAAGTAAATAAGACATAAATAAATGGGAAGACAACCTGTGGTCATGAATTGGCTGACTTAATATTGTTCAAATGTCCATATTACCTGAAGCAATCCCTGTGGAAATTCTACTGGTATTTTTTAATATATATAGAAAATTTAAAAAATCCTAAAATTCATATGGAACACAAAGGACCCAAATAACTAAAACAATCTTGAGGGAAAGAAAAACAAGAAGATGGAGGCATCAGAATTCCTGATTTCAAAACATGTTTTATAGCCAAAGTAATAAAAACAGTATGTACTGGCAAAAAGCAGACATCTACAATAATGAAACAGAAGAGAAGTCCCAGAAATGAAGCCATGCACATACAGTAACCTATATTTGAAAGGATACAAAGAATACATCATGGGAAAAGGATATACTCTTCAATAAATAGAGTTGGGAAAAATTGATGAGCACATACAGAATAATGAAATTGGACCTTTATCTTATACACAAAATCCAACTCAAAATATATTCAAGGCCTAAATATAAGAATTGAAGCTGTAGATTACTAGAAGAAAATACAAGGGAAACTCTTCATAATATTGATCTTGGCATTGATTTCTTGAATATGACACCAAAGGCATAGGCAACAAAACAAAAATTGAACAAACTAAACCACACAAATTGAAAATCCTCTGAATAATAAAGGACAATAGTCAACAGAATGAAAAGCGCACCTATGGTACTCCCTACTATCATCACATTGTTGATTGGGTTTGCAGATACGAACTTTGGGAAGAAACAGTCAAACTTGTAACACCTATTATATCCTACAATATAGATAAGTCTTAAGAACATCATGTTAAGTGAAATAACCTGGTCTCAAAATGACAACTACTGCATCATTCCACTTATATGATTTATCTAAAATAGATCCATAGAAGCAGAAAGTAGAGTAAGTTGCTAGGAGCTATGATTGGGGGGAAATGATGCTATGGTTTGATTGGATGTTGTTTGTTCCTCAAAGGTTCTTCTATTGGAAACCAGGTCTCCTGGCTGGTGATGTTGAGAGGTGTTGGGAGCTTCAAGAGGTGGGGCCTAGTGGGGCTTGTTATTGTATCATTAGGAGTGTTGTCCTTGAAAGAGATTAAGGGAGTTTCTTATGGGGCTGTGAGTTTATTCCTGTGAGAGGGGTTGCTATGAAAGAGCAAAGTCCTGGACTTTGGCTTTGTGTCTCATCACATGATCCCTTTTCCACATGTGCCTCCACCATGATGTCACCCACCATGATGGAAGCAGCCAGGGGGCCCCTCACCAGAGCTGGCAACATCCTGTTTGGACTATCAATCTCTAAAACAGTGAGTTAAATAGAATTTTTCTCTTCATAATGTATCTAGCCTCAGGTTTTTGTTATAGCAAATAGAAAACAGAGTAATACAAATTTCCATTTAAACTTAAACTTCCATTTAAGTAAAATGAATAAGTTCTAGAAGTCTGGTGTCCAATATTGTACTTATACTTATCAATACTATCCACTTAAAAAACTTAAGGAGGTACATCTCATGTTATGTGTTCTTGCCAAAATGAAACAAAAAGATGAAATGTAAGGTGTTCTTAAAGTATCATCTATGATGTGTAGAATTTTACTGAAACCAAAACCAGGATATTAGAGTGATAATTTACAATTGACACTGTTTTACTGGATATTTACAGTCAAGCTAATTACTTATTAGTAACTAGAGCTTAGAAGCAATGATAACGGTGGATTTTGCATGGCCTATAGAAACTTACTGTAATTAGTTTACAGTAGGAATTTATATTAAGAGATCTACTTGCAGCTGTAATGGTTAGGCCTGACATCCTTAGTGATGTTAACATGTCTTGACAGCTTGTGGAGTGTTAAGCAATATTCTAAGCATGGTTCATATGTTGCATGTAATAATTACAACAATCCAGTACATTAGATATTATTACAATTGTCTACCTTTTGTACATAGGAAATTAAACAAGACACTTTCCAAAGTTACCTACTCATAAATAGCAGAGTTCAGATTCAAGCCCAGACCATCTTTCCCCAAGGTTTGTACTCTTAACCACAAGCATATGTCTCATTATTTAAACTCTACAGTTTCCAACAGCTGAACTCACCATCTAATGTGGCCTCAGACGATCCCATAGTTGAAGCAGACAATTTTAAACATGTTCACACTCTCATTTGGTTTTACCTGGGAATGGGCTCTACACCATACAGAAGATCTCCTTCATTGAGATCTGTTTCTTTTCTTGCAAGTAAGGATCTTATGGCCTCTTTTGTTTCCTTGTTGATCACCATGTGCTTCCTTTATTCTACAGAGTATGTCAGTCTCTGCTTTGCTTTCTGTTTTTGATCCTCGTTTTAGAAATCCTTGAGTCAGTTGCTCCCCAAGTCACGGTAGAGCTTGTTGTGGTCTGTGACACTGAACTGGACATTCCCTGTACCATTAGTCTATATACCCCAGTGGAAGGAATCCTGTTAGACTTATCAACGATTGCTGCTTCAGCACCAAGCATGTTGCTCAGCACAGAGTAGCATTCAGCCAATGTGCACTGAGTGAATTAATCCAAAGTTTCTCCACCCTAAGGAGGGCAGACCTCAGGCCAGTCTTCATTTCCCTCACCTACACTATTTGCTCTTTGCCACTGGGAAATTAAACAGCCTCTTCTGGGCCCAAGTTTTAATATATAACAACAGACAGGCTGTGCCAACATTTAAACTTTCTCATTTACTCAGATGACACAGACTAAAGGTGTATTCCCTGACCAGAAGAGTTCATGTTTTAAAAATGTGACCTCGCTGATTTGATGCAATGCATAAAGAGACTTCAGAATAAGACTGATGGATGACATTTGCATAAACAGGCTATCAATATTAAAATAACATGATGGAAACTTTAAATGTAACATTAATTAGAAACCTGAACTAATTTCATTATTAGCCATTTATACCCTTGGAACATGATCACATTTCTTGAAGTACTGAAATGAAAGTTTATTTGGCATCTTTTGTGTGCAGCATAATGTGACGATTTCAAAACATAAAGCAATATTTTATTTTAAAATTTGTACTTTGTTTTTAAAACACATTTCACATTGCCATTTTTATAGCTTTATTCAGGTATAATTTACATACAACAAAAGTTCCCTTGTTTTAAGGGTACAATCCAATGATTTTTAGTAAATTCACAGAATTGTGCAGTATCACCACATTATAATTTTAGAACATAAGGTGTTATTCCTGATGTGCTTCACATACAAGGTTCTTACTTACCTTAATTTCTCAATTCATTAATGGGCCACAGAAAGGACCCTGAGATATTAGGTATCACTGATGAGGAAATTGAACAAAGAACTTTCATTTGGTATTGGCTGGTACAACTAGCTGTGAAACCTCCAATCTCACACCTGTTGGGTGCACATCTTCATTATATTCTTGACAAGCAAGTGCCTGGTTAATTTCAACTTGATAGAAAATATTCAAGGTAGAGGTAAAGCCATGGAGGGATAGGGATGGGTGTAAGACCAACTGGTTCTCATGAGCACATTTCCCCACAATGGTGTCTTTGCAGGCACTGAGACTCACAGAGAACATTGTCAGAGGATAGACCTGATTTGAATACTCACTTCCCTTACAGTAAGGTCTGGTCTAAGAGGGAATTGCCACAAGATGAGCAGAGAAAAGGATTATGCTAATCTTTTACCATAAAAATATCATATTAGTTAGGAGAGGCTAGTTTATGATGCAAAAAACAAACAAGCCACAGATCTCAGATGCTTACATCAATAAAGATTTGCTCTCTCTCATGTTAGGTCAGTGGAGAGACTGATGATTCATTGATATCATTCAGGTACCCAGGCTGATGCTGGCTCAGTTTCTACTTATAGCAAGGGGGTCTCAAATTGATATTTAAATACCTCAACCAGAAAGTAATTTATGTGACTTTCATTTCTAAAACCACTGGGCAGAATTAGCACCATGATCATATCCAATTTCCAATCTCAAGGAGGCAGAAAATTTTTCCTGTGTTCATAAAGAAAAGAAAAAAAAAGAATTGACAATCAGTAAATAATTGTAAAGATTTCCATATATGTAGCACTATTTAATGAAACGAGAAAAATAATAAATCGGGATAACAACATTCTAATGTCAGAATTGTTTTTAGTGAGAGAATTCTTCATTTGAGAAACTACCTTGATAGACATCTCAATGAGAGTTTTGAGAACTAACACACAGGGCCACAGAAGATTATCAAGAAATTATTCCAAGGATCTAAGTTTAAAATTTTGTTATGGTTTTTAGAGGGAGAAAAGAGAAGAAAATAAAAAGAATGAAGGAGTAGAAGTTGGCAAGATGGCAAGACTAAGATAAGCTGAGTGTGAACCTTAAATGTATTAATAAAAATGACTGAAATGCTTTTCCAAAATAGTGATGTCACATGGTTGCAATCTTACCCCTCATTGGTTTTTGCTCCCAGCCTTTGGTAAGTCAGCTTCATTCACCAACACACTGTGTGCATAGACTTCTGTTGTGAAGATATGAAGAAGAGTTTCTTTCTGGCACAATCTAATGCTAAATGAAGGTAACTTACATAGAATTGGACCCTGGAAGCAGGCAAATTCCTTCCTCTTCTGCCCCTTTTTATTCTCCATGAAAATTGCAAAGATATAGGAAAAGCAAGATTTCCACAGGCTCTGGAATTTAAGGTTAAAACCTGGTGTCTTGAGGAGCTAGGAGATCATTAAATGGTTTAATAAGACTACATCCAGGATTTTTATGAATTTTTTTTCTTTTCTTTTTAACTTCCCTGTGCTTTTTAAATTTTTTTACCATTCTTTCTATATTCATATGAATAGACAGCAGCCCAAATTTGCATGACTCTAATGTTGTCAGTGGAGGAGGAATCAGGCAATGATGCCACCAATTTCTATTTCTACTTTTGGAACCTCAGACAACGTGTGAATTTTGGGAATATTCTTTCAGTTTAAGGAAAAAAATCTATGAAATGCTTTGAATGGAAGTGTGCATGGGAAATATGCTATCATTGGGAGTGGCACTGGGGAGAATAAAGCTCTTTATCAGCAACTGTTCTTGAGGCTTAGAAAATCAATGTGGCCAGGCTGCTGGGAAATGAAAGCCCTCCCACTCCAGATTTTGCCAGGTGATTGTGCACTTTTTACTAATTTCAACTGCAATTATAAGGACGATAAAATGGAAAAATAAATATTTGTGCAATGACTGAGAAAAGACAATTAGTTTTGCACCAATGAGGAAAACTGCAGAACTTCTCGTGTCCTATAATATTGGCTTTCTCCACACGTATATTAAAATGTATGCTTACTGCACAAATGTACTTAGAAATTAAAGCAGCACAGTGTAAAGTAACAGAAATGAGACCACAAAACATCAGTATTTCAAGAAGAAAATAAATAAATAAGATCTGGTGTGTAATAATTTCTCTAGTAAATATCAGAGTTGTTGTTTTTGTTTTCCCAAAATTCATCCACTTCAACTATCTTCTCTCCTGAGCTGTCTCTTTCCTGCCTCAAGGTGAGCATGACTTTTGAGTAGGCAGTGCAATTTCAGGCTTAATATCCCTGACACTTCCAAATATTATTACTTTTTCAGAGACATGAAAGTCCTGTCTGGGTAGCCTTTTTCCCATGTTACTGGTCTTGACAACTGGAGCTGAAAGTACCTTTGATGATGATGATGATGATGATGATTACTTTGATATAACAGACCACTTGATGTATTAATTTTAATAGCTTTTATTTATTGATAAATGACTATGAGTTTTATATGTGATATTTACTTTGTCTAAATTATAGCATTTAATTTTTATAACAGAGAAATTAGGGTCAGAGAAAAATCTACTTATCCCCATTTTGCCGATAAAAAAAAAAAAAACAGGTTCAGAAAAATGACAATTCAGCTGGTGATGCTAAGTCAACCTGACTTCTTGGAAGTCTTTACTCTCAATCACCATGTAATACATTCTTAGCAGTATATTCCCTCCATCCATCATCAATCCATTCATTGATTCCTAAATATATATATATAAATACTATTCCCCCACGGTGTGCTAGATACTCTACAGGTACCAAGAACAGGTGATAACTAGTATGAAAAGAGCCCAAACTCTTGCCCATCAAGAGCTTAATTTTATATAGGGTAGATGAGAGACAAACAAGCAGACAAACAGAACCAGAGAAGACCTCAGAAAGAGCAATGAGGGCTCTGAAAAGAAGCAAAGTACAGAATGAGACAGAAATAGGGAGGTGGCCGAGATCCCGCTGCCCTTCACAGGGAGATCTGAGAAGGGTTCTGTGAGGAAGTGCTGTCTGGCAGGATGAGAAGACACCATCCAAGTGCACAGAAAGGCAACTGGTCCAGGCAGAGAAGGCATTCAGGGTCTAACAGGACCATTTATACATAACTAAAGCTCACTCTTTGGAGTGCTAATTTTAAAAACAAGGCAACCAATAGAAATCATCTACAATTAATGATACATTATATATATATATATCCTTTAGAAGCAAGGCCACTGGGGATGGGGCTGTAGCTTGGTGGTAGGGCACTTATCTAGCATGTACAAGGCATTGAACATGGGTTCAATCCCCAGCACCACAAATAAATAAATAAATAAATAAGAGGCTACCAGACATGTCCTTGGGTTTTTGTTAAATACACTGAGGTCACTGTTATATCCACACGTGCCATTTTAGCTCGGTAACTCTGAAGTCTAATTACTACATGCAACATATTTGTTTTTGAAACTTAAGAAAGCAAATCTCATGCAAAAGTTCTTTCTGGGAAAGTGATGGGCAACCCATACATCTAAGGAGTCTTTTCACATTTTTTAATGTCTTAGTTAAGTTTCTCTTTTGGTAGCCTTCCCATTTCCTCTCATCTGCTGAATAATAAGTTGCTGAGTGTTTGTAAACACCATGCTGAAGAGTAATAACTGAAACTCTGTATGCAAAAGAATCTGCAATGCAGAGCGACAGGATAATTTTGCCCTTAGGGTGTTGGAAGAGATATTATTTTTTTGTGCACTGTCATTACTCCCACAATTAAACTAATCCAGAAAGATTCACCTTCTTGTGACATTTCTCAGCAAGACAGGAAAATATTTGCATGCAAGTGACAAAGTAAATGATTCATTTAAAACATCTAACTGTTCAGAACAATAAGTTTCACTGTCTGTAATTCGGGGTCTAGAGAATGAGTTTTTATTTTAAACCACGAGAAACTACAAGATCATATGTGATGTGTAATATTGTTTTTGACTGACAGAGTCAGACCCAATAATCCAAGAAGAATCCTTTTCCTAATTTTCATTGTTGACACTGAGGGTGACTGGGAGAACAATATTCACTTTTGTTCTTCCTTATTTTTTGTCCAGGCTTTGCTAATAAATATTACAGAATTTAAGGATAAACTATTGGCAGTGCTGGTTTGCGGGTTTGTTATTGCTATGGCCTATCACCCACTACCAAGAGTATTGGTCTTCAAGGGCAGTTCTTTCTTGCATTATAAATTCTCAGAGAGCAGAAGTTACAGCTGTCTAAATTGCAAAAGCTCAGCATGGACTTGGAGCTTCATCATGAGACGTGGGGGTTGGGAGGAAGAGGAGGATGGAGCTGAGGTGGTAGTCATTGGGAGAGCACTGAGCTCAGTTGTCTCCCAAGGCTCCTTGCTCTCACCCTTTGCTTTTGTCCAGTGAAAAGCAACTTCTGTGCACTTCAGTCTTTTCCTTTGCTAGTAAACAAGATAGGAGGTGGGAAGTAGGGTTGTCCTTGCTAATTCACGGGGTGTTATGGAATAGCAGCCACAAGCATCAAACCTCCTTGTCCCAGGGGGTAGAGGACAGACCTGGAAGTCTCTCAGAAACAGCCACAGGAAAGAACATAACTTCATTATTGATGTTCCCTCAGCAGTCACAAGATAGTGGCCTTACCAAAAATCTGGCAAATTTGGTTTAAAAACATCTGTGTGTGTGTGTGTCCATAAATATACAAAGAATTTTGTAAAGATATTCAGAACAGTCTTTAAAAATTGACTTATTCCTGGATCCCAGGAAGAATCTTAAGAGGAGGACTTAATGTTCCTTGTCTACTTTCTTGAATTTTGAATATACTTTACCAAGCCTGCATTTTACTTGAAAAAATGTTCTTTAGCTAATATTTTTTTACTGACAGCATATTTTATTTATTTTATCAATAAATGGCTTATCAATCTTTAATGCAATAAAATATGTGGAAAGTGTTTTGCTTAGTCAGAAGGAGAAAGGAGATATTTTCTTGACGAGAGTCTTATTAGGATTTGACTTAGTAGCTAATGACCACGAGGACTAGAGTGGGATGTTCTGAAGCTTTTATTCTGCCCAGTCAGTCATGCAAGGGATGTATTTGGGCAGACAGTGAATCCATTATATCCAAACTTTAGGACTAAACAGCTTACCACTTTAAATAGAGGCCTGGTCTTTACCAAAAAGTTGAAGAAATGATGATTTACTAAAATGTGGATTAAAACAACTGTTCCTCATTTGTTGACAGCAACATCTTTAATAGTAAAGAATCACTGGGCTTGGTGGTGCATGCCTGTAATCCCAGTGGCTTGGGAGGCTAAGGCAGGAGGATTGCAAGTTCAAAACCAGCCTCAGAAAAATCAAGGCACTAAGCAACTCAGTGAGATCCTGTCTCTAAATAAAATACAAAATAGGGCTGGGGATATGACTTAGTGGTTGAGTGCTCCTGAGTCCAATCCCCAGTACCTCCCTTTCCCAAAATAGTGAAGATTCTAAGAATTGATGAAATTTTAGTATTCATTGAGATATTACATTAACCATAGAATTGATTTCTATGTATGTTTCCTTCAACAGAAAAAGTTCAAGGGACCTCTGAGTTTACTATGTGAGCTTTCTTGGAAACTAACCTGTGACAAGGAAAGGCAGGTTATGCCAAATCCCATTCTAACCAACTCTATCATAAACTGCTTATGTTGGCTGTACTAATTTGCATTCCCTCCAACAACAGCAAAACTCACAATAGTCAAGTTGTGGAACCCACCTAGGTGTCGTCAACAGATAGATGGGTAAAGAACACAGTGGAGTTTTATTCAGCCATAAAAATGAATGAAATTATGTCGTTTGCAGGTAAATGGATAGAACTGGAGAACATCATGTTAATCTAAATAAGTCAGTCTGAGAAAGAGAAGCATCATATGTTTTCTCGCATATGGAGAAACTATAGGGAAAAAAGAAAGAAAAAAAGATCTCATTAAAGTGGAAAGTAGACCATTAGGGTAGAGAAAAAGGATGGGGGAAGGGAGGAGAGGAGGAAAGGGAGATACTGATGAGTGAAATAGGTCAAACTGAGTTGTATGTATATGTGAATGTGCCACAATGAAATCCTTTATTCTGTATAATTAATATGCACCAATAAAAGCTGTTCAAATTGTTTATCACATTGACTTATTTTGCATAAATAACACTTAAAATAGGATAACATTGTCATTGTGTCTTGGGGATTTTTTGTGGTAGCTTAATATGAACATTCATAATGATTAAAATGAAACTTTCATTTCTTGAATGATGAAGTATCCCATCTCTGGTGAAGACACAGAATAATATGACTCTGGATGTTCAAAGGGAATGTTATTCTAGGCACATGAAGCTTTTAAGAAATCTATTGCTAAATACAATATTTTCAACGAAGTTTTGTGTTTGCTCATGATTAAATATTTGTTCTCTTTCAGAGTTAACTGACTGCAAAGAAAACGCAAGCCCTGTCATCTGTTGCCTGGCCAACATCTGGGTGATTGGGTGGAGAGCTTAGGTTTGCACTAGGTAATATAACGCCTCACTTGTCTTCGTTGGATGCAAACTCAAAGAATCATGCTTTGCTGATGGTGGTGATTTACTACAATTGGATTAACAGCATTTTCAAATGTACACTCACTGGAAGCAAATTCACTAATATCAAAAGAAGACATGAATTAGTTGCAATGCCTTATGGTTGTGCTTCCAAGCAGAAAAGACAGCTGCTGTCCCTTGCTGCATTTTGGATTCCATGTGACAAGCAATGGCTCAGTCTTTCAAGGGGAAAACTCTGAGGAAGCTTTTGTCTTGTCTCAGGGACTATCTCTTGAGAGGCAGTCCTGTCAGCCAGGAGTCAAATAAATTCAGGCTTCGAGACTCAGAGGAGGAGATGAGCTGTGCATTTGCTCTCTTGGCATGCATCCTGGGCTCTCTGTGAAGATCTTTCTCCTTAAGACAAATTATGGGTCCCTAAGACCTTTCACTAAAGGAAACATTACTCATGCAAATTAAATAGTGCATTCTAGATGGGGTGAGAGGTCTCTATTACTAGTATTTTTTTTTTTTTAATTTAGGAACTTAGGCCTTGAGTTTTCAGTGAAGCTCTGTGCTATTTATAGACCATAGAGCTGGAATATTAGACACTATGCATTTGTCTACCTTTTGCATTCCAATGCTTTGTAATCACGGTTTAGGTCTTTGTAATCCTTGCCTGCTGATATAAATAAGAGAGACAGACGTTGTTATGAGATTGTGAACAAAACACTTTGTTGCATTAAAGTTTGTAAGACATATTCAACCATGTCTAGCCTGATGAGTGATTTTAAGGGTTAATTAGTTCAAATTTACAGAGTGCTTGGAAAAGAAAGTGTGGTATACAGAAACTAATTAATAAAATATACACTTCATAAACATGTCAACCATCTCACCCTAATCTTCCCCTCTCCAAAATATTGCTAGTTTATTTTTGTATTATGTATTTGCCTTTATGAGACCCAATAAAATATTTCTCTTATTGTTTCAATATCAATATTTTATCAAGTATTTCTTTTCTCAATAAATACAAATTGCATTTTTCTTGGAATATTTCTACAGCTCAATCTCTTTAAAAATAAAAATGGTAAAATGAAAGGTTATATAGTCCTCATTAATCAAGAAGAAAATAAAATCCGATGGCTTTCAGTCCATTTTCCAGTAATGTATGAAATATTGGAAATGGTTGGTGTTTTATATATGTTTACTTTAGATTTAAATGAAATTTTTATAATGCTGTCTAAAATACAACCCAATTAAATTTTCAATGTCTTTGTTTTCATATGTCTGAATAAAACATTTGAAAAACTTATTCTGTAGTAATACAACCACCTTGCTAAGGAAATTCTGCAGGAGTTGGAAATGGTATCTTTCTTGTCTGTATGGGGGTACATAAGTCTAGACTCTTTAGTAGAGGGTTGCTCTAGTTGAGTTTGAAATTCTTCCCCTGTTCTCCCAATGGCACTCTACTGGTAAGGGGGTGTTATGGACAGGCATAGAGCTATCATTTGAGAAAGTTGAATCCAGAGAATTTGAGAGAGCTACTTAAACCATGCAGCCAATGGCAGGTTAAAGTTCCCAGGACTTAGTTCCATTCATGGGTAATTATGGGTAATTCTTAGGTTTTTTGCCAAGACTGGGGACAATTTCTCAGAAGCAGCCAAGATAATTTACTTAGACATAGCAACACAGCTATGTAAAGGTGACTACAGGAGAGACTAGACTAAGACCAGTTTGTACATATCACCTCCTTTCTCTTCACAGGAACTCTGGAAGATGCTGTTACAGCTTCCATTTTATAGATGGGAAACTGAATAACTCAGAGGTCACTTCACTTATATCTAGGAAGTTGTCAAACCACAAAAATGGGAAAGAAGTAAATGGGATGAAAGTCCACATTGTTATTTTAAAACAGGCATACTTTGTGTCTCTTTTGATAAGAGTCGTGGGCAAACAGTGGCATCAAGAAACATTTTTGAAATGTGGGTTTAAGTTTTGGGAGCATGAATAGTAAGAACTTGGCACTCATGTCTAGGGATGATCACAGTCGCTTTGCATAAATACATACATCCTTTCTGCCAGTGAAATATAGAACAATGCTTAAGACACTTAGGCAAATCATTTTCACCCAAGTATTAGCTACTGTTTATAAAATCCTGTGAAGACACCGTTGCTGACAAGAGTTAGCACTGGGGAGCCAAACCGGTCCTTCCCTTATGTCAGTGATGTTCTTGTGGCTGACAGAATACTTATTCCTGGAGGTAACTGTTCTAAATTGTGCTTTTCCCCTTCCATTATTACAAACTTGTTATGGAGAGTGGGTGGGAAGGACAACCTGTAATTCAGGGTGGTTTGGAAACCAGTTGCCTAGGAAACTGAGATGAGCAGCATAATGCTCACCCAAACCAACTGTCAACAAGAGAGGGGATTTTCTGATTTGATCCAAGCTGCTTTCCAAATATATATATACCTTGTGCCTCTTGTGGAGCCTATAGTGTCGTTGGCCCTTGGTGAGCATGCGGGAGTGGGCCACAAGCTAGTGGATAGGAAATTTTTCATCAACTGTGCTGACAAAATATTTGGGAGGGGGCATTATGCTGCCCTTAAAATGAGTTTGTAAGAGGATAAGGTGATCAAGTGAAGAAGAATTTACATAGCATAACATACAGGCAGTTGGTGATCATAACTTATGTGCATCCACATTTATAGCAGCAATGCTTACCTTTTTTTTAACATAAAAGTTTCATTTGCTGCAATCCACTACTCCCTGCTCTTTCGCTACGCACACCAGATGCTTTGGTTTATAGTAATTATCTTCAAGAGTAGCACTTAGAGATTCATAAATCCTTGATGAAAATGGTATCTAATTTCTCAAAATTTTAAATGAAGCATATTTAATTTTTAATTTGGAATGCTATCATACATGTTCACACATATATTTTGTAAGTCTGTGTGTACATATTTTAGTTGAACCATTTTAAATTGCTGATATTAGAGACTGTGACAATAATAGCAATTTTGCATAGTTCAACTCATAAATACATAGAAGAAGTTATAGAAATAAGATTTTTAAAAGTTTTTTCCCCCAATTTTTCATGGATCTCCTAATCCCTCTTTCCCTTCTCTACTTCATACTTCCCTATATCCTGTCCTATCCTACCCTCACTCTCTTTTTGCCCCCCAGACAATCCACATTATGACCAACTATATAACTTCTACACTCATTGTTATAATTTGGGTCTGGAATGTTCCCCAAAGGCTAATGTGTTTAAGACTTTGATGCCCAATGCAACATTACTCAGAGATGGGGCTTTGGGTATGAGAGCTCTGATCTCATCAGTGGATTAATCCACTCAAGGATTCATAACTGAATGGATTATTGGGAGGCAGTGGAACCTACCTGGAGGGAGTAGGTCCTCGAGGGCTTACTCTTGGTGACTATGCTCGTCCCTGGCCCCTTCCTTTCTCTCTGTTTCTCTGCTATGTGAAGTGAACAGCCTTCTTCAGCCATGCCCTTCCACCATGATGTTCTGCCTCACTCAGGCTCAAAGCAATGAAGTCAGCCAACCATGAACTGAAGCCTCTGAAACTGAGCCAAATAAGGCTTTCCTTCTTTAAGTTGTTTTGTCAGGTACTTTTCACACTGATGGAAAGCTGATTCACACACTCACAGACTCAGATAAATATATGTCTATGTATCCATGTTCATACTAGTGACAAAAGCAGTGGTATGGAATCTCTGATTCCCAGATTGATTTGGGGGTTGGTTTGTTTTGCCTGTTATCTATAGCTAGATATTCTTTTTCCTACATATGAATATTGCTCCTCTTTCCTCTTTCCTCCTATCATTAATGGACTTCAGCCTGTTTTTTAAATATTCCCCTTATTGTTTTTTAACATTAATTCTCTTGAATTCTAATTCTCTTATATGTGCTAAAAACTACTTACAAATGTACCATTTCACACAAGTGGGTTCATTCTTATTTTCTGGTTTCCTAATTTTGCCTCCACAGCGTAACCTATTATTTTGCAAAGTTAAGGATAAGCACTTTGAGAAGGAAGTACTTTGGTTGGTCTTCTGTAAAAGACCCAAAATTTCATGCCATTTCCCTCAAGGACAGATGGCCTCCCCAGAGTTATTTCTCTGGTTCCCCACCATCAACAGAACGTTAAAAGTCAGTTAGGCAATAGGGCCATAGGATTACACCTGGTGATTTAGGTCACATGTGATGGTCTCTGAAGCCTTATGATTGGTAAGAGGTGCAGTTCCACCACAGAAGTGACAGGAGCTCTTACGTTCTTCCTCTTAGCCCAGGGCAGCTTCTCTTCTCACTGCCAACTTCCATTACGATTGAGCCCCATTCTTCTGATAGGGGATGCTATTTATCTTCTTAGGCCATGGTGAGAGATCTTCACTCAACAAGATGGGAAGTTTTCTGTGACACTGGGCCATAGGGTTATTCTGGGACTAAACCACTGTTTTCAACAGAGGGAGAAGGCAAGGAGGGCTCAGGGTCAGGGGCTCACTGCTTTTTCCATTCCGCCCTAACTTACCTCTCTATGCATCTGTGCAAGTCTGTGGTCACATACAAATACCTGCTGTTGACCTAGCGCTTGTCAGTGGGTTATAGCTCCCTCTCCTGTGTGGAAACGAAGTGTTTTGCAATGAAGTAGAATGTCCATTACCAGGAGCTGTGAATTGAAGGTCTCTTGGGAGCAGCTCAGAAAGCTCCGTTCCTGAGAGCTGTGACTGGTATGCCTGATAGGGTTTCCTGGGTGAGTCATTTATCCTCAGTAGCGTGGACCCTGGCCAGGGAGAACACGATTCACTCCAGTTCTCCTGTGAGTGAGGGATGTTATTTACTTGGAAGCAGAGTCTACCCTTCTTCTGCCTGTCAAAGGGTTTCAAAGCTGCCGTACCAGGAACAGGTTCAGCACACAGACTTCAGTAACTAGTGACCCTTGTCCTCCCCTTCAGTAGAAAAATTCCTAAATAGTCCTAGGGGAAAAGAAGCAAATCCTGACAACTGCTTGCAGATCATCTTAGAACTCAATCCCAGAAGAAGTGTTTTTAGGTAGGAGGAAAGAGTGAGGCAAAAAAAAAAAAAAAAAAGGAAAATAAAACAAAAAAATCCCAGAGACTGGTGTACAGAAGGGTAGCTATTTGTAGCTCACTCAGGTGTGCTCTGAAGGTCAAATCCCTACATCAGCATTTAGCAGGAAACCCTTAAGCTTCTCTACCTTTTAGAAAGCACAATTTAATCTCTCCCTCCTCTCTCTCTCAAACACACACACACACACACACACACACACACACACACACACACACTTCATATGATGCCACCTGCAAGTCTCCCAGGGAGGCAGTTTGTAGGGCCAGGTGATGTTCCAAGGAGGCTGTAATTTCATAAACCTACTAAGAAGATTGACGTGGGAGGCTCCTTAATTTAAGTCCTGGAAGGCTTTTTCTATTTTCTTTGGGAATTGTGTGAATAACTGCAGTGCGGCTTTGCGTCCAAAACTGGACAGTGAATCAAACAACAACGTCGACAACAACAGCTCTTATCCGGGCCACCATGGAGTTTCTTGAAAGAACTTCCCTGGTGAATGACAAAGCCCCTAAGATGTACGCCTTCACACTAGACAGGTAACAGACATCTCTGCTTCCTCACTTTCCATGCCTTAAATATTCAACAAATGCCCTGATGCTGTTGCTTCTGAGTGTTTTGCAACTTGGGGGCAATTGGGAACATTTAGAAGCAACTGATTGACTCATATAATACATACTCTGAAAAGTGCAATACTCTATATAGTTGATTTGATTCCTTAAATATCCATTAAGTGAATGAAGAAAACATTTTTAGTAAAGCATTTTTTTCTCTAGATTTTTTATTCTACAGAAAATAGACGTACAATCTAATATGTTTGATTTTCCTTCTCTCAATTACTCTCCAATTTTAGATCATAAAATGTATTAGTTATATTTAGAAACAATTAAGTCTTTACTACAATGGGGGAAATTATGGTTATATTGGTCATAAAATTAATTATTTTATATCAATAGATATGTTATAGCAAACATTGCAAAATTTAATGTTCTACAGTTTCAACTCCTTTTATTGACTCCCACAGAACTATATGCAATATATTTGTTCATTTTTTATACATATTCAACAAATATTGATTGGATATACCTGTGCTAAATTTTGGATGTATGATAGAAAAGAAAATATTCCTGGTCCTAGGTTTCTGTCCCCTTGAAACTTTAGAGTCTATTGTAGAATACACATAATAAAGGGTAAATTAAAAATAGCATGCTGGGGGCATTTGATGAGACTACATCAAGACAACCTAGGTCTTGGTTGAACTTCGGTTTCAGAGAACTTTTTTTTCCTCCAGAAGTTAACAGTCTAAATATTAGACAATAAAATGGAATTGGAGTAAGTTTGGGGGGCCCTGCATAGAATGCAGGATCAGAGAATGTATATCAGATTGAGACCATGGCACAGTAAAGAGAGAAACATATAAGAAAGAGATCTTGGTGTGTTTGGGAAGATCAATCAGAATGGGGACTTACGAGAAACACTCAGTATATACAAATAAATGAATTAACGTCTGAAATGAATTCACCTTGGGAACAGAATTTAAGAGAATACTTATTCATAAATAACATATGTAAACATGTAATGCTTTTGTTTGTTTCCTGGAACCAAATTAATATTATAAAGAATAGCAATATTTTGATAGCATCAAATATTTTAGTAACTGCAAAGCAATTTTTTTCTAAAGGACATTTATAAGTTTGCTTTTTAAAAAACTATATAACAAAGAATCTAGCACCTGTATTATCTCATATTGGAAGAGCTATTTCTTAGACAATAAGATGAGATGTAATTTATTTTGGTCATGAACACCAAAAACAAAGTCTTACGTTAAGTCAGGTAGAAATTTTGGGTGACAAATTTTTAACACTAAGGACATTGCTAACAGAGCATCTCTCTGTCATTGAAACCACAGTATTTCTTTTCTTGTTAAAATAGACTATTAGCACTCTGTGGCATGCACGTGCGCACACATACATACACACACACTCACACAGCCATTTATTGTTATAGTTCTCATTCACCTCATCAATGGGCATGGTTTTCAAGACATAGTATTTTTTGAAGTCATCTTTATTTGCTGGTCAAATAAAAAGATTAAATCTGGAGATGATTTACCCTGCTCCTTTTTTTTACTAGGTAGGCAATGAGTACCAGAGATAGCAAATGCTTTGTTTAAGGTCAGATGGTTCAGTCTGGCACAGCTGAGATGCAGACCCAGGCCTTCTGTTTGTCAGCCCAGGACTCCCCTTTCATCTGCACCTGCCCTCTGCATCCTTCACCTAGCTCCTCCTGAGGTCATGTACACCTCAGTTCCTCTGCTCATTTCCTTTCTATACCTCCTCCATTTCCTTTGTCATGTATTTTGCCCTGTCTCTATTTCATAAATGACTTTGTTCCTTCATATTCCTTCTCTTTTCTCCTCCCTTTCTTTTCTTCTACTCCTCACTAGATTGCTATTTAAAGTTTTACCTACTGTTAATTAATCTGGAGGAAACCTTGCCCTGTAATTCCACAAAGGGAGTGTTTCATGTATCTGTTGTTATCCAACAAACGATTCCCAAACATCGTGGCTTGAGCAACATTTCATTTTACTACTCATCATTCTGTAGTTTGGAATCTGTGTGGGACTCCATGTGGAATCTCTTGGCTTTGCCCGGGAGGCTGCATTCTACTGGTGTCTGAGCTGGGCAGCAAAGTCCAAGATGGCTCCACCTGCATGCCTGGGGTCTAGGTACTGGCCTTTGCCTATGGTCTTGTTCTTCTTCCCATGGCTTCTTTCTCTTTATGGTGACTCATTTTATCAGGTTAGCCTGGAATTCTTTATATGGCAGTGCAGGGTAGCAAGAAAGCAGCTGTGGACACTGATAGCTCTCAGATAGGCTAGGCCCAACCCTGGCAGAGCATCATTTTTGCCACCCTTAATGGATTAGAGCAAGTCTCAAGATTCAGATTCCAGAGGTGGGGCAAAAGATTCCAACTATTAATGGCATGTATAGATAGGATTAAAAGTCATTGGAGTTCATTTTATACACATTTTTACTACAAGAAATCTTAATAGTGGGCCCTGTAGGTACCATGACCACTATTGGGCACTCTTCACTTTCTTCTCAATTCCTGTTTCAGTAATGGGATTCATGGTAGCAAAATGATATTTGTGTAAAATTGACATACACAATTGATATGTTTTCTTGGCCCTGGGTGCCAAGAAAGCAATGCAGGGAAGCTAGGGCAGGGACAGCTGGTAGGGATAAACTGCTGGAATCTTTTCAACAATGATTTAACTGGTAAATATTCACATCATTTATCTGTCTTATTTATCTATCTTAAAGACATGCAGAAAATTGAATATTACTTATTCAAGAAAACCCACCAAGTCTCAGTGAGAAGTGAGTTAGGGCCATTTAAGTTGAGACCTGTCTATTACCTCCTCCCTTCCAAAAGTGCATGTGATGGTAGCTGTGCTTTGAATAGTTGTAGCCAAAAGACAGAGATACCTCTCCTCCCAGCTTCTAATTAAAGGCTATAGTTCATTCTTGCTGGAAAAAGCATTTTGAATCACTTATTGCTCAAGATTCATGTTTCAGAACCTCTATGCAACATGTACGTGGCAAAAAGGAAGAAGCTTCCCTTTCTTCACCCAACCCACACTCATAGGGTAAAATGTCTACTCAGTAAGGTTCAGAATACTCCTGTCCCAGCTTGCTCATAAAATAGAAATTCTGTTTTAGGCAGAACAAGCAAAGAACACCAGGGGTTAACATCTTCATTTAGCACTCTACTTACAGAGTTAAGTGTCACTCCAGGAGAACGAGGTCACTCTCCAACCCATCTGCTCTTGGTGAATGATGCAAAAATAAGGCACAAGAATAAAGAGCCATGTATCTTTCCATTAGATGATTGATGGTACACAAGTTGAAATAATATTGGAACAAAGAATAGGGATTTTCAAGCATAAGAGTGCTGCTATTGAAAACAACAAAGACTTTTCTGGTGAGCAATTATGAATAGGCTGATTGCTCCATTATAGTAACAATTAAAGGTAGAAGAGAGATATTTAACAGAAGTAGATAAGGTAGGACAAAGGTAAGAAGAGCCCTTCTGGACTTGGTGCTAACCTCAAAAGTTAGCCTCAAACACCCCTAAAATAGTCTGTTATTAACTAAATGTTTAAGTTCTCCCTAAATTCATATGTTTAAGCCTGAATGACCAATGGGGCTAAATTGGAGATGGGGCTCCTAAAGAATGGATTAAGGTTAAATAAGGTTGTAAGAGTGGGGCCTTCATCTGAGAAGATTAGTGTTCTTATAAGAAGAGAAACCAGAGAGATCATTTTTTTTCTCTCTGTGCATGTATACTGAGGAAAATCTCTGTTGAGAAGATAATCAAAAAGTAGATATCTATAAGCTATCAAGAGATACCTTCTGCAGAAATTGAATTTGCTAGTACCTTGATAATGAGGTTTCAGCATCCAGAACTTTGAGAAAATAAAATAAGTCACCCAATCTATGGTATTTTATTATAGAAGCTCAGGCTGACTAATGCAGGGCACAAATTTATTGGAACATTTTGTGTCTCAAGGCATTGTTGAAAACTGTGGAGTAGTCATCAAGCAATTAAAGAGGCCAAAATCTGAGAATAATACCAATATAGGCAGAGTAATCAGAAGCTTAATATTGAGGCCATAAAAAGAAGCAGTCAAAATGAACACAACCAAAATAGTTTTCATCCCCAAGGGATGAAAGAAGGATAAGTATGACCGCATGTGGCCAACAATGTATCTAAGAGGCATGACAACAGAGTCTGCACATAGAATAAAGCCAGATAAAATAGAGTCCACTATACTAGACAAGCCAAGTCACTAAACAAATAAACAAGTAAACAATAATAAAAAGTCAACAAGGAGGCTGGGATTGTGGCTCAGTGGTAGAGTACTTGCCTAGCATGTGAGAGGCACTGGGTTTGCTTCTCAGCACCACATATAAATAAATAAAATAAAGGTTCATTGACAACTAAAGAAAATGTTTTAAAAAAGCCAACAAGGAATCAGTATTCAGAATTACCACAACGTACTATATAAAATTTCCAGTTTTCAACAAAATTTCATGAGATGCAAAAAACAGGAAAGAACAACCTATATTTGGTAAAAAGCTAAGCAATAGAAACTGCCTTTAAGGAGACCCAGATATTAGACTTGGAATTCAATGATTTAAAACAAATATTATAAATACACTAAAACCATTAAAGGAAATGTTTAAGGAATTAAAGATAGATGTGATTACAATGTTACATCAAATGGAGGATATCAATTCATAGAATATATTAATTTAAAAAAATATATAAAAATGTAAATTCTAGGATTTACATGTATAATAAACGAAATTTTATAAAATTGATGAAGGGGCCTAACAGTAGAACTCTTCTACTGGCAGGATGCAACAGAGAAAAAGAATCAATAATCTTGAAAAAAGAGCAATAGATACTATGCAACAAAGAGAACAAAGAATAAAGATTGCAAAAAAGTTAGTATAAACTCAGGGAAATG